AATGAACAATGTGCATGAATTAGATAAAAAAAGAACTTAAGGTACATTAAAATATTTGAATTAATGAAAATGCATACTTTGTTATTAGATAAGGAGACTCAAGATTATAAATATGTCTATTATGCCATTAATCTTATCCTGAGCATATTTTACAGAAAATATTTAGAGAGATAGTTGTTAAATATAAAAAAAGTTTTAATGAATGTTACTAAAAGGCTCTGAAATAAAGTAAAAGTTTTTATTTTCTACAGAGTTTTCCTTCTGGTACTATATATATATACTTAAGTATAAAAACTTTTCATCACTTATTGTATCAATCAGCTCCTATTTGAAAAACAACGTGGCATCTTCCAAGTCGATAGAGGGAGACTCTCCACAAGAGACAGAGCTGGCTAGCCCCTCCCTGTCTTCCCTGCTTCCCCACTGTGATGGCTAATCCCTTACACTGTCACCATCACACTGGTCTCAGGCTTGCTTGTGAAAGCTCTGGTCCAAGCCGGTCTCCAGCTCTTTAGAATTAATTTCCCCTTGGATAGTGGTTCTCAAACTGTAGCTCAGGATAAAACAAGAAAAGTACATACAGAGACTAACAGGGATTTAGTAGACTTCCTCAAAAGCTATGCCTATTTAGAAAAAAAGAACAGTATTTTATTGTATTCATTCGATCATTCACTCATTCGTATGTTCATCCCTTGTTCAACAGGTATTTGTTAAATACCTTCCATGTGTCCAGCGTATGATATAAACCATTCAGTCATTCAAACCGCATGTTTCAAGTCCAAAAGCCTTTTCCTTTTAAGTCCCCTTTCCCTCCGAAGAAAGTTATGTCCCTAAGTTACTGTTCCCAAAGCCTCGCCTGTCCCTGTCTTAGGCACAGGACACCTTATAAGTAGTTTTCATTTTCGGCCTGCCCCTTGTGGGGACTAAAAAATAATGATACTTTTCCTCTCACTTTCTAAATTAGTTTAGCTGGGCTAATAAGTCAACAGAGACATTACCAGAGGGAAATCAATTTTAATACATAAGCATGAAAATTCCCAAAGTCAGTGAGGCAAAATTGGATGTATATGTCATTTTGGCCAAAGAAGAAATGAGGGAAATGGGATCTTAGATTTCAAAGCTGAAGATTCACAGGAAATTGAAGAAGAGTAGGACACACATGGAGGCAAATGTCTGCCTCAGTGGGACAAGGGTGACCCAGCTACCAGGCCCCTGCTCGCGCCCTCCTTTCTGACATCATGCAAATTAGGCTCAGGGGAAGAAGCTAAGATTTCCTTCCGGAAACAGGCCTTTCTATCTCAATCTGTTGGGCAGAAAAGTGGGGAGGGGTGGCTAAATGTTCTGTTGTATTTTTGTTGTCGTTGTTTGGGTCTTTTCTCCTTAATAACCAGCTTAAATTCACTATCCTAAAAGGCAGATTTAGGGTGGCAAAACTTTGGCGCCCTTCACTGTCTAGACATAAAACTTCATGAGTACAGGGCCCTTGTCTCTCCTGGTCACCAAAGTTTCCTTGGTCCCTACCACATTACCTTGCCACAAAGTAGATGCTTTATATGATGGACCCAGATTGCCTTGTGCCCTATGAGCTGGGTCTGATAGGAGTTGTAAAAGTATCAAGAGCAAGTGCACTGACAATTAGTGCCTGCAAACCTGCCCTTCGTGCCAGGGAGCTGCTGGGCAGGACAAATGATGTTTTCTGTCACTGATTTACTGCCCTTGACTTATGTAACAGTATCAGCGAATATGAAGAACACTGCAAATGTTGACCTGAAATCATAACTGAACAAATAGTACTCCCTTCCTCCTCCACCAATGGCATTAACGTTTTAAAGAAATCAAGTATTTTAGTAAGCAAAATCTTTGCAAATATATTCCTTCTCTTTGAAAACATGGCAATGTACTTTATAATATTAGGCAGTTTAGGGTATCCGTGTAGCTGCCTATAACTCTACAGGGAAAAAAACATCTAACAAAGACTAGAATTAGCCCTGGCCAGTTTGGCTCAGCGGTTGAGCATTGACCTGCGGACCAGAGAGTCCCAGGTTTGGTTCCCGCTAGGGGCATGTGCCACAAAAAGGAAAAAAAAAAAGACTAGAATTAAAGAAACTCATAGTTATTATCACTGCACCAGGCATGCCTCTCACACAGACAGGAATGTCCACACCCACGCCTTATAGAAATGTGAAAATACAGGCTAAGAATGTGTGTGCCAGTGTGAAACACAATAGTCCCAAGAAAACGGTCTAGCCAAAACAACAACAAACAAAGCAAAAAGATACGGGTAAATTCTTCGTAATATTTGTATTTTGTTGGGCAATATGGTGTAATGGGCACAGAGCACGGACTGTAGGATCAGACAGACTGGGTCAAGTCCTGGTTCTAGGACTTACTACCTGTTTGCCTCCGGGAGTTTACTTAACTTCTCCTAGCCTCAATTTCATCATCTGTATGAAGCACAGGGGTTCCAAGAATTAAACCAGATAAATGATGGTCAGAGCTTGGACTCTGAGGCATGTTTCAATGAAAGCTAGGGCGCCCATCCGTTCTACAGTTTTTTTATTGAATGCTTCCTATGTCTGTTTTGCTCGCCAGTGTATCCCCAGCCCCTTGCACACTGCCTGTCACATTGGAGAGTCTCAAGTACTATTTGTGGATGAATGTCAGTCTCCGCTTTTATGGAATGTCCATTTTCACAGCTTCCTTCCACCTTCCTACTGAGAACGGGAAGAATGCCAGTCAAAGTAGGAAAAAGTGGGAATGTAGAGGAACATTCATTTTAATGTTGTACAAGATTCTGTAACATGCTAGAAGAAACTTTAAAGATTAAGCTTCTGGAAATTAAATAATGGTTCTGCTAGCTGATGAAATGTCAGTGCTTGAAAATGAAGTAATAGGATAATGTCACCTCAAGAACAAAATTGTGTTTTAGTCTTCTTAGCAGAGCCTTTTTTGTTTTCTTTATTTTTATTGAGGTAAAATTGATAATAATAGTCAGTCTTTCTAAGTCAGCAGGAATCTGATATCATTAAAATAAAACCCTGCCTAGATTATTATAATAAACTTTTTCTCAGTTACATTTTGAAGTATTCTTGCATCTTATTTTTATACATACATACATACATTTGCTTTTTTCAGTCAGGTTGAATGTTCTAAGAAAACTTTCAACTAATGTTAAAGTACAGAATTTGCTTACTAATAAATGGGACACAAATACAGAAAAATCCAATCAATTGTTTTACTTAATTTTTTTTTCACCTAAGGATATTTTTTCCATTTATCTTCAGATAAAGCATGAGGGAGAGAGAGAGAGAAACATTGACGTGAGAGAGACACATCGACTGGTTGCCTCTCACGTGACCCAAACAGGACCAGGGATGAACCGCAACCGAGGAACGTGCCCTTGACCGGAATCAAACTCAAGACTCTTTGGTCTGTGAGCTAACCCTCCAACCGCTGAACCAAAGCAGCCAGGGCTGTTTTACTTAATTTAAACATAATACTTTGTTTCTATAAATCTGAGTCAAAAGAATGTGGGAAAGCAACCTATGCTACCAAGAGAAGAAAGAAACTTAGTGGGTCTCATACCATTATCAAGAGTCCACTTCAAAGCATTGTTTAAAACATGCTCTCTTGATCCAAACCGGCTATCTTTTTAATAAGATCACTTAAAATTTGTAATAAGACTGTTTCATGTTCTGTACAAAAAATACTCAGAACATGCCAGAAAGCAGCAAACTTGCTGGGACATGTATTGTTGATTTTGGTTTCCCTACTGATCCTTGTAGGAATTGTTAATCCTGATTGCAACAAACACATGAAAAAATGACAGAGATGGATTTGGTGGCTTCTAGAAATGATGGAAAGAAATGGGCCACACTTAGTATTTGTGCATCTATTTCAAATAGATGCATGAAGGCTTCACTAGTGTTAAAATATCATTGTTTTTGTAAACAATACAATATAATATAAAATAAAATAGATATAATATATGAATAAAATGTTAAATATGTATTCAATCACTATAATAATGATTTTGATCTAGAAATCTGTAATCTACTAATAATTTCAATAATGTTTAGAATTTGTTCAGGATTTTAACATATTAAGAAAGGACAAAATATGAGATGTGGTCAGAGCAAAAAAAGAAGGCGAGACACTTTCTTTCCTTTTTTTAAATCTCACCGGAAGGCATGATTTTATTGGTTTTTAGAGAGAGGAAGGGAGAGCCAGAGAGAGAGAGAGAGGAGAGAGAGAAACATCGATGTTTACATCAATCACTGATTGCCTTCTATTCAAGCCCCTGACCCAGATGGCAACCTAGGTATGTGCCCTGACCAGGAATCGAACCCGAAACCTCTTGGTGTATGGCACCATGCTCCAACCAACTAAGCCACTTGGCCAGGGTGAGACATTTCTTTCTGATGTTTGCCTGTTATAGCATAATGCATGAATTGTAGTTTTATTGTCCTGATTAATGCCTATTAATAGAAACATAGTGATATATTATTATTCTTGATATTAATGTTTTCTTTCAAAACTGATACATGATTGCCCGATAACATAAGCATTTATGCTATATCTTTAGCGAGCTCACAATATTAGTGGATGCCTTGTGAGTAGGTCCACATTTTTATGCTTGAATTAAAAATATTTTTTCCTCACACATTCTTTGGGAGCTTTGCAGCATGCACATTAATTTACAGGAAATGTGCTACACATCTCTTTTAGGAATGTCTTAATTTCCCATCATATTGTCCAATTAAATGAATCGAAGAACTCTGGTGTTTCTAAATTCGGCCAACAGAGGATAGCTGAATGACAAGTAAATAAGTCTTGCTGGGAAGATGTTGCTTAAGTGATAAAATGGTTCAGCCAACAAGTGAACCAAAAAATTAAATATTAACTGAAGAAGGTAACCATTTCTCAAGTCATACCTAACAGAGGATTCAGGTATATATAGGATTGAAGAGCTAGCTCTCAGCTAAGTTCACAAGCAAAGGACGGTTTCTTGGAGCTTCCAACGTTTTTTAAATCATGAAACATCTATTGCTGCTACTATTATGTGCTATTATAGTTCAGTCCCAAGATATCACTGACTATGATCATGAGGTGACTTTTTAAAACTTTCTATTATATTATTACTTATATTATTAACGTAAAATAGAACAGAACCATAATCATATGGAATACTTATTTTAATAAAATTAACCTTGATTTTAGTTACAAAATGGAATTGTCAATCTCAGGGACCCATTTTATTTAAAGAACGTTATGTAGTATTTCTAATGTAAAAACAAAATAATAATTTCTTGTTTTCTGTTTTGTCATTTTCATTTTCCCAGGAAGAAGATAAAGCACTTAAGGTAAGATATGTTTTTCTCACTTGTTATCCCAAGTATTAAGAATTTTGTTTAGTTCTAGCAACACATTACTAAATTATGAGAACAAAAATCTGAAAATTTTGCAGACTATAAAATAATAAAAGAACAATATTTTAAAAGTTAAAAGCTGTGTTAGATAAGATCTCTTTGGTGAAGGAGGGTCATATATAGTCATATATAGCTCCTAAAATTGTTGGCTATTTAGGAATGAAAATTATAAACTAAATCTAAAAGCAGAAAAGATCAAGTGCAGTGATAGAAAATTAAATTTTTTTTCAAATTAAAAATTTAAATCACATGTAATATTTATTGTTATTATTAATGATTATGAAACATATAGCCCAGTTTAATTTATCCATTTGTAGAATAGTTTTTCCTCAATTACTATCTTTGCTGATTTATTCCTATGGGTTTGAAGATATCAAAAATACAGAAATGCATTTAGGCAAATGAATATTTAAAGAATTGTAATTTTAGTATCAAATGAATCATGATCAAATTTCTTGTATATAACATAGCATCATCACACTAAAACAAAAGTACACAATAATGTTTAAATGACGTGATTCATTTTGAATCATTTGTTGAATTTAAAAGAAATCTAAGTGATTTAATTATCAAACTATACATATAAAAATATCCTTGTCTGGTTAATTGCATTAGGTAAGAAAAATGTCAAGAATGTTAAAAGTACTAGACTAAGCACTTTTACATTCTTGCTCACAAACTGATCCCTACAGCGACAGTGTACTAGTTTAGGTTTCAAAATGGATTTCTAGTTTTAGTTATTTCAATGAGTGGTCTTCATAAACCTAAATACCTGTATAATTTTTGAAATGTTTTTTATTTCTTTTTCTCTTGTAAAGCTAGACCATCTATGCTGCCTCTCTAATGACACACTGAAATGAAAAGAAAATATTTTTTCTTCTGTTATAAATTGATTTGTAATATACAGGTGAATTACATTTTATAAAATCTCTGTTAGAACAGATGGGCTCTGACAAAGAGACCACATCTTCAAAATGCAATAGGTATATATCACCCACATCTTTACACATTATTATTTTTAGTGCCATCACATATAACAGATACTATAGTTTAAGTCCAGCTATTAAGCAGGGAAATCAGGAACCAATCTGCCTGGGTTGAAAGCCTAGCACCCTCCAACTAAATGTTAAATATTATAACTTAATGAGAAAATGACAGCAAAAACCCAAGTAGAATCATTGAATGACTTTCGAGCTCACAAAATAATTACAAAGCTTAGTCTCTGTTTCAAATCTAGTCTTTTGTTAATTTGTAATTAAACCCAAAAGGGACATGATAACTGACCAAGACCATATGATAATATAGTTAATTCAAGTCAACCCTTTTATATTGCAATGCATATTTTCCACTTCATTATCTTTTAATGTAATATTTTTTAAGTGAACAAATAATTTTAATCACAATACACATACCTTGAGAATTACTTTAGATATGAAAAAGCATGGTGCTTGATAAAGAAATCATATAGGAAATTTCACTAGAATGGCCTATCAAATACTTTTGCTTATAGAAGATAGGAAAAAGATTGGGATTAGTGGTGGAAAAGCCACTTAAAGTGTAGCACCTGTTATGCAAATAATAATGAATAGTTACTATATGCCAGGTACTCTCCCGAGGGTATCATACACAATAAATCATTTAACCATCATTTTATACGGCAGATACTATTATTATCCCTCTTTTACAGATAAGAAAATGGGCTCAGATAAAGTAACTTGCCCCAGGTTTTACAGCTAAGAGGTGCTAGGGTCAAGCCAAGCAGTCTGACTTCAGAATGCCTCATTCCTCTTTAAACATGTTGGAGTCAAGGGTTGTCTTATGAATAAATCCGTATTGCTTTAGGATATTATTATGTAGGAGTTATCCAAATTAATTACCAGTTCATAAAAACTAAATGTGGGGAAATAATTAACAATAATTTTGTAGAAATTTAGTAATCCAAGTGGCTTGAGAACATTTATTCTTTCTGACAATATAAATTCCTCAATATTTTGTGTCTTCCAACGTATAGCTTTCATGAATCTGAGATAAATACTATTCATAATCTGATGCAGTTTTATTTTAGAGCCTCTTTTTTAAAACTATCCGAGTTAGCCCTGGCTGGTTTGGATTAGCTGTTAGGGAGTCAGCCCACAGACCAGAGAGTTTTGGATTTGGTTCCCACTAAGGGCAAGTAACTCGGTTTGTCCCTGGCCCTGGTAGGGGTCGGGTCGTGTGGGTGGCAGCCAGTCAATATGTCTCTTGCTCTCTTCCTCCCTCCTACTCTATCTGAAGATAGATGCAAAAAAGTCCTCCGATGAGGATAAAATAAATAAATAAAAATAAAAACTACCTGAGTTACAATAGCCTTTTGCACCTTTTTTCTGCTGTTACTGAAGAGATCTAATCAACCTATTGATTTACCAACAACTAGGCAGTTGATGGACCTTGTGCAAATCATCAGTCATGTGATAACCTAAATTATATGAGACTGTTGGAATAGTTACATCTCAACTTTTCTATAACACTTTACATTTTATTTTTGCCTGGTTCTCTGAAGGTTGATGTTGGGGCTCGTGGTCACCGACCCCTTGACAAGAGGAGGGAAGAGGCTCCCAGCCTGAGACCTGCCCCACCTCCCATCAGTAAAGGTGGCTATGGGGCTCGTCCAGCCAAAATAATTCAAAGCCAAAAGAAGTTGGAAAGAAAAGCCCCTGATGCTGGGGGCTGTCTTCATGCTGACCCAGACCTGGTAGGTGCACTGGCGGCTCTTGCTGTGGTGGGTGGCTCATGTAGAGAAAGCCTCCATGGTCACCATGGCTTCCTGATGTTTCACTGATCCAGGTCACCATTGTTATTTTGTTTATTTTTGAAATAAATACATGCCATAAACAAATTGAGCCTTTGGTTGAGGATTCCTTTCTAGTTTTCTTTGGTCGGGGCCCAAGATTACAAATGAGGACACATGGGTGTGGCCTTTACCTTTGTAGTTTGCCCATTTCATTTGTTCAGGTGAGACTTTTTTCATTTATTTATTACATTTATATTTACATTAATTTTGTGGTAAGGACTAGTTTTAATTTTCATAGACATAGGATGACTCTAGAATTTCTGGTCTTACGTAAAGAAAATCAAATGACAAGTTTTTATATTGGCTAATGATATCATTGAATTTTCATTGTGTGCTACTTTCACAAATATCCATAACCCAGCTTCTTCATGCAATGCCTGATATTTTCTTTGTTTGCAGGGAGTGCTGTGTCCTACAGGCTGTCAGTTGCAAGAAGCTTTGGTGCAACAGGAAAGACCAGTCAGAAACAGTCTAAATGAGTTAAGTAATAATGTGGAGTCCATTTCCCAGACCTCTTCTACCATCTTTCGGCATGTGACTTTGCTAAAAGACATGTGGAAAAAACAGCAGAAGCAAGCAAAAGGTAGATATTCTTGTGTTTTCGTTCGATTCGGTTAAACATCCGGGTCTATTAGACTGCCATGGGAATGCACGATGATGAGAGGGCGAACATTTCTGGATTAACCTGAACAGCATCCACGGTCTTTCAGCATGGGCCCGATCACCCCGAGGCTCACGTAGACAGCTTCTCATGCAACTTGTGAGATAAGCACTCTTCACATTCTCAATGTGGCATCAGCAAGGATGGTTTTCTAGGAAATATTTTTCTGTGAGTCCTCGTTTTTAGTCTGTAAGAAACTTGTGAGTCAGAAGACAATATTCACAGAGTAAAATTTTAGCATTTATATATTTTACACTTGAGGTTTTGAATATAAGAGGGTCATCAACAATACACTCAGTTATATTGCAAATAATGATACCTCCCCTTTGAATCTTGAGATCTGAATTGCGTGCTATTGGCTTGGTGGTTAGAAATCAGCTACAGAGTGAGTCTGGCATAGACGTCTCAGTGAGCAGCATACCCATATCTGGACATTTTTCAAAGGCATCATGACATCTCTCCTGTAAATGTTAAGGCTCTGCTATAGTTGTGTGAGATGGATAAATAAAGCAAGTGTGTCCACTCCATAAGATGTTGAGCTTCTGATGTCTGAAGGTGTAAATATAGCTTTCTTTTCTTTTCCACACACACACACACACACACACAGATAGAAATCTTATTGAATTAATTTTTAAACATAATTTTTAGCTTACACTTAAGGTAAATCAGTAGAATAGTAGCTAGAATATATGCTAATTTGTATATGCCATGGACCAAATAATTTCCCCTAAGTATAGCTGTGCTTCCTGACTACCCGGTGGTAGCTCAATGTCCATTTGTTTATCGTCAGAAAATCCATATCACAATTGTATGGTTGAACACTGTTAGTTTATCAAGCCAAAATGCTAACCATTCCTACATAATTTTATTTTTCCAGATAATGAGAATGTAATAAGTGAGTACACATCAGACCTGGAAAATCGCCGATTATTTATAGATGAGTCCTTGAATAGCAATATCCCGACTAACCTTCGTGTGCTCCGTTCAATCCTGGAAAACTTGAGAAGCAAAATACAAAAGTTAGAATCGGATGTGTCCGCTCAGATGGAATACTGCCGCACCCCTTGTACTGTCAGTTGCAATATTCCTGTGGTGTCTGGCAAAGGTAACTTGTTAATAAACATATTTCTGGGGCGTTTCAGAAGAATGCACATTCTCTAAAATAAGGAAACTGTAAAAAAGCCAAGTGGGGTTTCCTCCACAGATCCTAAGAACGTTACAGCACATCCCTAGGATGCTGTGTTCTGAGTAGCCAGATGGAGCTGCATGTTTTTGATGAGCAGGATGTGCAGGGACAGCACTAGCCCCACACTGTAATGTACACCTTGCTTGAGTAGAAGGCAGCACAGCGAATAGATGCAGGAGTTTCTTCGTCCAGTGTGTTCTGGCAGTTTATATCTGGCAGACATCCCAGGACACAAAAGGTAGAGAAGGGCTTTTTCATCCCCGTAGTAGATGAAACTCAAAACTGAGTTGGATTTTCAGTTAAAGGAAGATTCAATTTCTATAATATATTCTCAAATGTCTAAAATAAAACATTCCTCAGGAACCGAGGTAATTATAAAATGAATGACTACAGACCAAATAAATGTGTTGTAGTTCCCCGAATATGATTTGTTTTCTTATGGCTGCAGAATGTGAAGACATTGTCAGGCACGGAGGTGAAACATCTGAGCTGTATCTCATCCATCCTTCCAACACTGTCAAACCGTACAGAGTATACTGTGATATGAACACAGACGGTGGAGGTAAGTGTTTGATAGGTGTTGACCTATCATTCTGTAATTATTTTGATATCACAAAATACTAGCAAATAAAACCTAGCTTTAACATAGCTAATAAAAGGCCATTTGATTTGGAATTCAATCTGATATTTTTGAAGTTATAAAATATCTATGATTCACAATTTGGAGTGAGATAAAGCACTTGTAGTTTCGAATATTTTAAGTGTTTTCTTCTCATATGTATTTCCTTGTTATATCTGTTTTAGAGCACTAAGTATAGGTGGGGATAAACTAAATTAAATAGACAGAGTTCAGACATTCCTTCAAAGTGACATTATTTGTTATCATTTAACATGTGCTGTTTTCCTTTCTTTGCCCCAAAGGATGGACAGTAATTCAGAATCGTCAAGATGGTAGTGTTGACTTTGGCAGGCAATGGAATCCATATAAACGAGGATTTGGTAATATTGCAACCAGTGAAGATGGGAAGAAATACTGTGGCCTACCAGGTAAAAACTGAAAGTACAAAATAAAATCATTCTATTTAAAATGTGGGTTTTTTTTTTTCTATTAAAAAAAAAAATAGTGTTGGGAATCTGTTTTCTAGACATTTTAGGAGATTAAGAAGAATGTTTGAAGAGTGTGTGAAAGACAAGGGAAGAAATGCAGTTTTTCGTTTCTAGAGGTTTTATTTTTGCTGAGATTTTATTTTTATGTTTCCTTTAGGTGAGTATTGGCTTGGAAATGATAAAATTACCCAGCTTACTCAGATGGGACCCACAGAACTTCTGGTCGAAATGGAGGACTGGAAAGGAGATAAAGTAAATGCTCGCTATGGAGGATTCACTATACAGAGCGAGGCAAATAAGTACCAAATCTCAGTGAACAAGTATAAGGGAACAGCTGGCAACGCCCTCATGGAAGGAGCTTCTCAACTGGTGGGAGAAAACCGAACCATGACCATTCACAACGGCATGTTCTTCAGCACGTATGACAGAGACAATGACGGCTGGTACGGATTGTGTTCTCTCCTTCTATAAAAGCCACCACTGATATTGTTACTTGGGATCATTAATAATAGCTAATGCTGTTATTAACTCTCATTTCGTGGGTAGTTAGTATGTGTGTCAGCCACTGAAGTAAGCTCTTTATGTATCGTTCTGATACGGTTGCCATTAGGGTTCTCATTTGACAGATGAAGTTGAGAGAGATTAAGTAACTTATTCAAAGTCATACTGCTATAAAAGATAGAACTGGAATCAGTACACTCTTACCTCCTGAGTAGTGAGTGTTTTGATAAATTTCTATACCTCTATATTCGAATGTATCTATGAAACCTTCATTTTGTTTTTCAGAGTTCTCTAATACTAAGGGATCTGAAAGCTATCATTTCAGTGTAAAGTAACAAATATAGATGAATTTGCCACATAAGCCCAGCTCTCTTCCTTTTTGCTGTAGGGCAGAGAAGGTCTTTACGTATTAGTGTGACTGTACTTATAGAACCAGAGGGAAGGGGTACACAGCATCCTCTGTGGGTACTTTGGATTGAATTAACTAGACAGCACTGCAGTTGTAATAATCCCAAACACATTTCTTTTCAGGTTAAATGAAGACCCCCAAAAACAGTGCTCTAAAGAGGATGGTGGTGGATGGTGGTATAATAGATGTCATGCAGCCAATCCAAATGGCAGATACTACTGGGGTGGCCATTACAGCTGGGACATGTCGAAGCATGGCACAGATGATGGAGTGGTCTGGATGAACTGGAAGGGGTCCTGGTATTCAATGAAGAAGATGTCTATGAAGATCAGGCCCTACTTCCCACAACAATAGTCCCCCAGACATAGATTTTTATTCTTCCATGTGTAACAACATTTTTGTATATTATGCCATTGGAATTTTCTTTCATACATTATATCCCCTCTAAAAGTGTCAAAAGGCTGTGAGTGTGACTTTTGGGGGAAAGGATTTAGGATTAATAACATTAAAATTAAGAAACAATTTTCTTTTGTACTCTTCATTTATATTACTTACCATAAAATAACTGAAGAACAATTGTGGACAGTCAGCATTCAGAATTTCAATTACAGTTGATTGAGAAATTTTCAAGTTAGGAAGAGAAATTTTCTATCTTTGTTGTAGAAAACTATGAGGCAACCTAAAAGCTTATGTTGAAAAGTCCACGTTGAAAACTTTATTTATTTATGCAAGGTCTGTCACAGAAAACGTCCAAAAGATTTATCAATAAAACTAATCTCTATTGCAATAAAGTAATGTTTTTGTATTTTGTAATCCACGTGGTCAATGAGTTAAGACTGAACTTTTAAGAAAAGAGAAGAATTCACAAATTCAAGTAGCTCATACATTGGCACTGAACATATGAAGATTCAAAAATCTCACTTTGCACCATGGGAAACCACTACTCTGTCAGCTAACCAGACTTTGGGGTCAGAGTTCCCAAGAGAGCAATTAGGATCAAGTCTTCACCATTTGTTTTTTGTTTTGTTTTTTGGGGGGGAGGGTATAGTGTGGTAGAAAGCAGTAGTTAATTATTGGCCCTGGAAATTAGGCCTATTGGTCTCATTTGGGCTTTTGTTTTTCACATAGTTACACCAGAACTAAAGCAGAAGTGGACTTTTTGTTTTTTCTATTTCTCCCCCAAAAATGAATGCACTAACTCAACTTTAAAAAAATATATATTTTTAAACCTTGTATTCTCTAATCACTTCACTCCAACTGGCGTGGCAACTCTATGACCCTAGGTCCTCCTTTTCTTAACTTAGCATCACTATCATTGATTTCCACGGAATTGATGGTCCTGAATTTCATCTTATCAACCTTTACATCAAAGCAAAGGTTGTCAATTTCTATCATGGAAATGTCACTCTCTTAATTCCTCATCAAATTCAACTTCAGCTTTTACCTGGTTTCCTGCCACAGTTTTGCTCTACCCTTAATAGATATAGGGTATAGATATAGATACCCTATATCTATTACTCTATTATCGAATCTATTGTTCTAATAATAGAAGATTCTGACCAAGTTCCTTTTCTGCTTAATGTTATTTTCTTGTTATCTAAATTTTAAGTCCAAATTCCATAGCTAGGAGTGAAAAAGGACCCAGCACTGTCCTCTGACCCACCCCTACTACCTTCACTATACATTTATGTTCTTGTCACAGTAAATTTTTCACCATTCCGGTTAAGGTCAGGCCCTTTTATATTATGCCCTTATTGTTAATGGTGTATTTCCTCAAAATCTACCTGCCAAATTGTTCTTTGTTTTCAAACCTCATTTTAACTGCAATTTGTCTTTTGTACATACCTTCCTCTTTTACTGGTAATGAGTTCTTACTCATCTGTGATTCCAGAATCATCAAACCATCAAAAAGGCTGATATTCAATATTCATAACTATTGGATGATTAAATCCAATGATTATCAAGATCCTGGGTATCCCTTCTTTAAATATACAGAACGTATTTCCAATAAAGGTACAGACAGAAATTCAATATGCAAAATACTGGAAAGTAGAACTTTTGCAGAAGGGTTGACTATAACAAAAGCCCACTGAATTGTGGGCAGATGACAGGAGCCCAATACAAAGGCAGTGTCCCTCAGACCTTTGTTAAACCCCCGTACACACTCACAGAGGATCTGAAGAATTCCCAGAGCTTAAAATAAAGCACAAATTAAAAATCCTTATAGTAGGTAATCTGATGGTCAGTTCTTAATGAATTAATATACAAGTAGCAGAAACACAGAGATCACTATTGGATGGTCTCTAGAAAGAAGCCTTCTTAAGATATCATTTGGAAATATTACATATCTGATAATTGCCCCCTCACACATCATAATTTTGAATGTAATAAAAAGGGAGTGCCTCCTAGTTAGAACATGTAAAACAATGTCTAAAAATATGAACTCATGACTTTTATGAAGATAACAAAAAGATGAATTGAAAATTACTAAACACACTTTAAGACATGAGAAGTACAATATATTTTATTATACAATTAAGACTGAAAGTATGTAACAAACTATAAAGGATATCTGCATTTAGGTTTAAACTTTCAGTTCATCTGCATTCACAAACCAAGGAAAATAGCTGACCAATGTAGCCAAGGGATTTCCCCACATGGGGCAAAAATGGGATGATGTGCTATGACCCCACCAGCTGCAGTCAACTGGCATTTCTGTTTAAGCATTAACACCAAATATCATGTACACTGATCATCACAACCTGCAGTTTATTGAAAATACAATTTTTCTTGAGTCAACCAGGTAGAGATTCTCTACATGGGCAAAGCATAAAAGTCTGTATTCTTTTTAAAATTTATCTTTATTGTTGAATGTATTACAGATGTCCCCCTTCTATTTCCCCCATTGACACCCTCCACCCTACTTCTCCCCCAAGGCCTTCACCACACTACTATCCTTGTCCATGGGTCATGAATACTTGCATATAAGTCCTTTGGTTAATCACTTCCAAGTCCTTGCCTTCCCTCTGAGATTCTGTATTTTTTTTAATAAATGTCCCCAAGACATTCTAATCACTGGATACATTTTGGAACAACTGATCCAGGTTACATTCGCATTTACCTGAGACTCCCATCTCTCTTATATAGCACTTTTTTTTTTTAATCTTTATTGTTAAATGTATTACAGATGTTCCTCATTTTTCCCCTATTGACCCCCTCCTCCCCACTCCCGCCCCCCTCCTATCTTTTCCCACACTGTTATCTGTGTCCATTGGTAATGCATATAAGTTCTTTGGTTTATTTCTTCCCACCCCCAAACCCCCTTGTCTTTGAGGTTTGTCAGTCTAGCAACCAATTTATTCTTATTAACCCCTTCACCTTTTTCACCCATTCGCCCAACCCTTCTCCCATCTGGCAACCAACAAAATGTTCTCTGTATCTATAATTTTTCTGTTCTGCCTGTTCATTTTATTCGTAGATTCCATTATCGATAGATATGTATTCATTGCCATTTTGTTTGTTCATATATTTTATCTTTTTCTTCAAAAAGACCCTTCAACATTTCATATAATACTGGTTTGGTGGTGATGAACTCCTTTAACTTTTTCTTGTCTGGGAAAGTTTTTATATGACCATCAATTCTAAATGACAGCTTTGCAGGATAGAGTAATCTTGGTTGCAGGTTCTTGCTTTTCGTCACTCTGAATATTTCTTGCCACTTCCTTCTGGCCTGCAAAGTTTCTTTTGAGAAATCAGCTGACAGTCTTATGGGAACTCCCTTGTAGGTAACTATCTGCTTTTCTCTTGCTGCTTTTAGATTCTCTCTTTGTCTTGAACCTTTTGCATTTTGATGATGATGTGTCTTGGTGTGGGCCTCTTGGGGTTCATCTTGTTTGGGACTCTGTGTGCTTCCTGGACTTGTATGTCTGTTTCCTTCAGCAAGTTAGGGAAGTTTTCTGCTATTATTGTTTCAAATAGGTTTTTTATTTCTTGTTCTCTCTTCTCTTTCTGGCACCCTCAAGATGTGAATGTTGGTATGCCTGAAGTTGTCCCAGAGGCTCCTTACACCATCCTCATATTTTTGGATTCTTTTTTGTTGTTGTTGTTCTGATTGGGTGTTTTTTGCTACCTTATATTCCCAATCAATGGTTTGCTTTTTGGCTTTACCTACTCTACTATTAAATCTGTGTCAATTATTCTTTATTTCAGTTAGTGCCTCCTTCATTTCTGACTGGTCTTTTTTATGCTCTTGAGGCCCTCATTAAGTTCTCTGAGGTTCTCACTAAGTTCATTGAGCATCCTTATAAGCAGTATTTTGAACTCAGCATCTGTTAGGTTGCTTATCTCCATTTTGCTTAGTTCTTTTCCTGGAGATTTTTTTCTGTTCTTTCATTTGGGACCTGTCTCTTTGTCTCCTCATTTTGGCTGCCTCCCTGTGTTTGTTTCTATATATTACTTAATAAGAGGTATGGGGCTAGCTGAGACCAAGTGCTGCTTGTTTGAAAGAATTTAGGAAAACCTGAAGCAGGATCCAAGACAGGCCCATCCTATGGTTAAGCAACTGGCAACAGCTTGGGTGGGCCTGAATGTTGGGTGGGGCGGGGCATCAGGAAATCACTAGGGTGGAACAACCAGTATGAGCCAGGTTGCTGGAGTCCCAGATATGGTGGCTGTCTGCCGCCCCAGGGAAGGGCTCACCAAAGGAACGAAGGCCTCTGACAGCACATCTGTCCCGGAGAAAGCCCCCTCTCCAGCCTTAGCTCCAATGCCAAACAGCTCAGTTCTTCCCTGTATGTCTCTGGTGCCCCTCGAGCTGCCTCCCCTCCAAGCTTAGAGGGAGAGAGTCCAATAAGTCCATGCCCGGGCCCTTTAAGAGGAGCTGCCTGGGGCTCCAGCTGCCTCAACCTCCCTGAGCCTCAGTTCCTGCTGGTTTTTCCAGCCAGAAGTTATGTGGATTCTCTTCCTGGCACTGGAACCCTGAGCAGGGCACTTGGTGTGGGACGGGGACCCCTCAGTCCTCAGAGAGGATCCTCCCAGCCGAGGTGTCCTCCTGATTTTTATCCGCCACACGTGGGTGTGGGACCAGCCCCTCCACCTCCGCCCTCCTACCAGTCTCCGTGTGGCTGCTTCTTTAATTCCGTAGTTGTAGGACTTCCATTCAGCTTGATTTCAGGCGGTTTTGAATGATGGTTGTTCTGTCGTTTAGCTGTAACTTTGATGTGGTTGTGGGAGGACACGATACCGCGTTTACCTACCCACCATCTTGACCGGAAGTCTTACCTAGCACTGTTTTCACTCAAATTGTGACCACGATGCAATATTTAGAGCAAATGATCATCTCTGAAATTACTGTGACTTTATTGGTGACTACTGCCTGCATTTGGCTTGAGTTTAACAACATGTTCTCTGAATGCTGGAACTATCATTTTTACTCCGATGCCCCTCAGCCTCAGAT